CAATAATGTATTGCGAAATTCGCCAAATGGGGCAAAATGGGTTAGTGCTAATATTCCAAATCAACCCCCCCCGAAACCTATCTAATATTCATAAGTGAAATAGAATAAAAAATATGCCTGCGACTGCTGACAGTTTACCGCCGACTCGATAATTTAACACTGGCGCCATCTCGCGGCATTCTCCCATCTCAACTTCTTTACCACACAGCACACCATCAATAATTTCTCCTAATTATACAAAATAACCTATTAATGGGTATTAATTGGGACCAATTGTTTGTCTATCAGTATTTAAGTAATTTTTTGATCATATTCCAATCATTTTTGGCCCATTTTTCGCCTTAAAATGACATCCATGCACATCCATGCTACATCCATGCTACAACATGGATCCTTATTCGCCAGGGTTTTATCTTCGGGTTTGATCTGAATTGTACTTGGAGGCTGAATTAGACTCATAAGTATTTACTAGGGTATCCATTCATTCATCAAAGCATAATTCTTCATCCAACTAAATTCCTCATCATTCCAAACTTTTCTACTCTTTCTAGGACTTCAAACCAGGGAAGCAAGCCCCCTGAGAGTAGCAGACGATGCCACTCAATAAAATCGAATATGTTGGAGTTCGTTGCAACCAGTATCACCCTCTGGAACAGTTTTATTTCAAGTAATCGTTGGACAAGCTTATATTGGAATCCTTCTGGAATAAATACTGGGTTAACACTCTGAGTTCATCGAGTCACCCCACAAACGCTGGCAACACTACTGGGCACATCTTCGCTTTAAATTCTGCACTAAAGAAAGATGATTTTTCTTTATAATTTTCAATAAAAGTAATTTTGAAAAATATTTTTGAATTCAATCTCTGATGTACGTAGATAAAATTTCAACTGTTAGACCATTTTATTCAGTAGTAAGAATAAAGGGAATTTTTTTTTCTACATTTCAAAATGGAGATTGGGAATTTGTCATAGGATGGCAGAACTCTAAACCTAAACAGGCGTATGCCCGAGGACGATCAGCTTTGCTGTTTCTCCCCGCCTTCATGCGTCAAGACTGTTTGTTTTTGCATTTGTTCAAAAATGAAATGTACCAAATCAATAAATTATAAACACGTGAGGAGTCATTTTTGTTTCATGAGACAATGATTCGATTCCATCAATCTGAAAATTGTGCAATGGTTTGATGTGAGTGTCAGTCGGATTGTCACATTTGGATCTTCCGAGAAAAAATGTCCTGGAAATCGATGAACACTGTCAATGGAAATCAGACGATCCGAGTAATGAATTTCCCCCTAACGGGTGAGGAATCATTGAAATCCGAAATGAGGTCTGCACAACCGCTGACATGACCCCAATGAGTGATAGTCGTCATGGGTCTGAAGGAAAGAATTAGTGAGTGTTTGTGATGCTTTAACCTGATGGCTAAATAATTAAGACATCTCGAGCAATTTTTCCCAATGTCAGAGCAACCGTATGAAATGTTGCCAGGTACACCTAGGAATAGCACAACTGGGAACGTAAGAAACAATAACTTTATACGATGAACGTCATTATTTCATCATCCAGATGTTTGTCACGTTAGTCTCTATAGATGAACCTCATCAAGTCGTCATCTACAGACTGCAAGAAAGGTCCATGTGGAACTTATGTCTCATCTTCCATATTCTGTCTTCGGAATTGGTTCCGATTGCACTCGAAAGCTTTGGAGGGTAAAAATAGGGGAAGAGGAGCTAATTGCGACACAAAACTTATTGTAATAAAGCATTCTGTTTTATTAAAATTTCAATAAACTTTTGAATTCTCTTAAAACTATTTTTTTTTCTATTTCATTGGTTTTTATCGAAGTAGTTCTCGATTTGAAACCCCTCCTCTAGCTTGCCGCCCCTCCTTTACTTTTCCTCTCATTGTTATCTGCGGTATTCTCTTAAAACTATTTGATTCACAATCAGCAAAAAGTTTAGGTTTATTAACGAACTTCTCAGTCACGAAATATTCGGTATTTATCGTAAATATTTTAAAAATATGCCTATCATAAAAACTTCTTTATATCCTCTCATTTATATCCCAATTGATGTTAATTGAATTGATATTTGATTACATCTGCTAACTATACACCTTAGGAAGAGTTTACGCATGCGCGAATGGCCGGTCGAGAAAAAATTAGGAAACAATTGATTAAAAAATGAATATCAATTCCCAAACTCGAAATCAAGGTTTTTTGATCTTCCTAAATGATTTTGGATTGATTTATGTTAATTAAAATCATTTTTAGTCGCTGCACGTGCTAATTATATGCCAATAGGGGGGAGTGCTCAACGCACAGCTGACAGTCCCAATAGGGAGGAGTGCGCGTGCGCAACCTGCCCCCCAAGTCAGAATTGGAAAAAAATTAATTAAAAAACAAGTATTAATTCCCAAACTCTAAGTCAGTGTTTTTTGGTCTTCCCAAATGATTTTACATCGATCTAAGCCGGTCCGATCAATGATTGGTCATCCCACCTGCTAACTATACGCCATATAAAAAAGTACTTAATTATAAATAAACTATTAGTTCCTAAGCTATGAAATTAATTCCTAAACTATCCTAAACCATTCCCAAATGATTGGAATTGGTTTCATTCAAAAATTCGCTAATTGCCTGCTAATTATATATCCGTGACACCCCCAAAAAAGCGCTTGTAAATTGACCGACTGACCATTCGCGTTCTATTGCGTAATTCTTTTTTTTTAACGGCTGTAAGACTGGACCGCAGTCCTGAACAACCAGAACCACTAAAGCATTATAATTAACTAACTTTTTTGAACACTAAAGTATGAGCTCGGATCGTCAAGTCAATAATTCTCAATCAATTTTGGGCATTGGAACTATTTATTATCAACAATTTAATTGTTGAAATCGCCCTAGCACCCAACTATGAGACATATAAGAAAATTTTCGGATCACCAATCATTTAGAATTTGATAAGGAATAAGTTTTTGTCTTTTGTCAATTTCACATATCTCCTTTAGATTTCCAAATATTAACAAGGCAAGAGTTGCGGGAACCAACACAGCTCTCCAAGCCCACACGAAGAGAAGAGCCATGGGAAAGAGTCCCACGTCAAATTTACGACTTGTATGTATTTCTAAAATTTAGGAAGCATTACTATTTTATGGTAATGATTCCTATGGGGTATGGTATTAGATCCTATGGGCCATGGTAAGTCTCTCGATGGGAATAAAGCCTATGGACATAGGAGAAATTACTATATTGAATAGTACCCTCTAACGTGTTACAGGGTAGAGTGTACTATTAATTATGGTAAAGGGACCCATAGTCGTTTGGTAAAGTTTACCATAGTTTATAGGAGAGATTACCATGCACTATGGTAACATGACCTATATTGTATGGTAAAACGTGAAAAAGTCATAAAATGTCACCAATATAAAAGATAATGATTACTAAACTATATCATGATAATGATGAGTATAATGAGATAGAAATTTCAAGTGGGATATATATTTATATTTAACGTATTTGGTTTCGACGCTGTTTCAATAATTACAGAGTATTTTCTTATAATGTTGTATTCTTTCTTATTAATAATCATCAATATATCTAGATTAATCATATCGAATATCGTAAAGATCATATTTAACAATAACATATTTACATCAGTATTTTAATATCAGAATATACATATCTACAGAATAGGGGGATTTTTTGCATCAAATTTTACCTAATCATTGGAAAAAATTTTGGCATTACGGTGCTATAAAAATTATTAAAAAATTCAAATGTGAGTAATTAAACTCAACAACTTTGCGTGAGAATCTAGACCCAACGTTTCGGAACATATTGCTTTCCATTCCCGGAGGTAGCTATATACGATAGGATACAAAATTTCATTTGTCGAAATGTCAATGTCGACAACCTCTTATCATTTATATCAATTTCATAGGATTGGAAATGCCTTTCAAAAGAGTATTCTTGTAATTGTTGAGTAACAAGAATAACTTGATTATTTGGCTCTAGGAGTACGATATTGATCAAATGTAATTGAGGACCAGCCTCTGTCGGCATCATCAATATAACGTTTTCCCTGATATCATGTCCCAAATAATTGAGAGAGCTTACTATTTTAATATCTCCAGATCGATTGGACGGGAGAACTGGCAGAAAATGACGATAATTTGGATCTAATTCTAATCTCTTGTTAAGAGCTGGACCAGGGAGAAAAGGTGGTGGTAAAGACTTGTTGATGAGTAACCGATAATTCAATTTTAATTGTGCCTTGATGGCTATTTTTAGTATTTTCTACGATATCGAGAAAAGGAGAGATTACCATTTATAAATAGTACTGATTACCATCCACATGGTAATCTCTCCTATAATAATGGTTGTCGTTCCTATATTGTAAATTGTATAGTAATGCCTACCATGTTCGAATGGTATTGATTACTATACAACATAGTACGCTTTACTGTTGATAGTAAAAATTACTATTGAGTTTGACTTAGAAACCCTTTTACCATAATTTATGGTAACCTCTACCATACAAAAGTAACCCCTACCATTCACTTTTCTCCGTGCACCGCGCGCCACAAATAGCACTATGTCGGGTCGCGGAAAATGGCTTTCCGTACATGGGGCTATTTATGCCGGCACCTCAAGTTACTCAATATTTATTATTTATTACACCGGGACTTCGAAGTCGCTCGAAGTTCGGCTAAGATTATGTCTACTCCTGCCTAACTCTGCCAATGACGTAGAATGATTTGAAACGTGAAATTACGAGGTTTGACGACCATGTCTAGGGAGCATTCAAATATTACTTCACGCTTTTTTCGGACCTTTTAGAGCCCTCCCTCCCCTCCCTCCTCCCTCCATCGCAAGACCGTCACAAGCGTGACCCCCCCCCCTTATATATTATGTAACAAAATCAACGACTCCCCCCCCCCCTACTTTATGTAGAGAATAATTTTGTATTCATTTTTTTTAATGTAAAAAAAATCACGTGAATAATTAGTTCTTTCTTCGATACTTTCTGAATATGTCCGCTTATTATCACAGCATTCAAATAATAATTTCTGTTTGCGACTCGTTTGGATACTAGAGAGAAGAAAAATCTTCAAATAATTAGTCTCACGGGCAAGTCAAACAAATTTTCATTAAAATGACTGAATGGCCATTTGAACACCTTAGTACGAACAGATGTTGTTGATCAATGAACGCTTCATCGCTCCATTCGTCATCTTCAATATTACGTGTGACTACCAAAAGTTCCCTTTGATGGTTGACGGCAATTCGCATAGAACGCACATTTGAAATAACTGCCATGACACCACAGTGTCGCTGCTGCTCGTTCGAATTGCAGAGATATGCATAATATGCCTCACATTTTTAGCTTTGTTTCTAGGTTGATGTCCAATTTTCTTTTCGTTGAAGGGACGGATAAAAAATAGTACTTTTCGTTACTAGATCGAAAGAAACTTCTGGCGAATATGAGTTTGCAATCATATGAGCCAAAAAAGTTTTTTCCGGCCAGCTATCGAACATTATTTTTTGTCATTTGTCCGTAAACAGCAATTCACGAACGAAAAGGTACATTCCTGAAGTTTGAAATTAAGAAAAAACAGAATATGGTGTGAAATCACAATCTAAGCAGCAGCCCTCCCCCCGCCGTCTCCCTCTAGTAATATTTGAACGCTCCCTTAAGTCATTTCCAAGCAAAATTAGAGAATCGAAAAATCGACCGATTACAAGGTTCCATTCAGAAGCAAAATACTCGGATATCATCTCATGTTCATTCTAAATACATCGCATACATTGAGCTCGTTTCTTCTCTTGAATTTTTTTTGCTAAACAATAGGTGAGTAATTCTCCCATAAATATAATCACGGCAAATGAATGACCAAATATGGTGATCATGATAAGATGTTCTATTAGATGAGTTTGCGATTTTTCGTTCCTCACTCCCTCGTCCTGCATTGAGCTTCTCGAATCCGGATACCATTTACTCAGAAGGCCCGCTTCGTGCGGACCTCCCAATAAATTTATTAATATACTCTTTGCCAGGCAACCCCTGGCGAAAAGTGAAGGCTAACGCGCCAGACCAAAAAAATTCTTTTGCAGAAGTAAATCCATTATGACCATATTTTGCATGACTCCACTGTTTATAGAAATGAACTTCAGTTTCATACATCACACAGCAAACATTACTATGAACCATTGCTATTTGGGGACAGTCTATATTATCCGCAAATTTAGTAGTTTTCTTTTTCAAATTCAACTCAGCTCCAACCGCATTGCGGAATGCTGTCTTAAATAGTGGAGCTTGAATACGTAGCGTCAAATTTGAATCATCAATGTCTTCAAACGAGCTATACTCGTGTTCAACAAGACAATCAACACCAAATTTGCTTAAAGAAGCGTAAATATCATTCATGTACATAAATCCCAATATTATAACGAAAATGAACAGGACTCTCTCCAGGGCTTTCGAAGGTCGATGATAGACTCCAATTGGGAATAACAATCCAATAATACAGCTTACTCCCCATATTTTCTTATCGGGTCTCAAAATAAACATTGCTATTAAAAGTACTATCGTGATGATCATAAGGGCAGTGGTCTTGAAAGCGTTATGAAGGTGGTTTTTGGATATATAATATCGTTTTGGCATCAGTACACCTAATTTCTGCGTCACAATGGTCCGTGATCTCACAGATTCTTCCATTGTATCATTCGTGTAA